TCCGTCTTGGTAAGGCAGTCCGTCTTGGTAAGGCAGTCCGTCTTGGAAAGGCAGTCCGTCTTGGTAAGGCAGTCCGTCTTGGTAAGGCAGTCCGTCTTGGTAAGGCAGTCCGTCTTGGTAAGACCGTCCGTCTTGGTAATGCAGTCCGTCTTGGTAAGGCAGTCCGTCTTGGTAAGGCAGTCCGTCTTGGTAAGGCAGTCCGTCTTGGAGGCAGTCCGTCTTGGTAAGGCAGTCCGTCTTGGTAAGGCAGTCCGTCTTGGTAAGGCAGTCCGTCTTTGAAAGGCAGTCCGTCGTGGAAAGGCAGTCCGTCTTGGAAAGGCAGTCAGTCTTGGTAAGGCAGTCCGTCTTGATAAGGCAGTCCGTCTTGGTAAGGCTTGGTAAGGCAGTCCGTCTTTGAAAGGCAGTCCGTCGTGGAAAGGCAGTCCGTCTTGGAAAGGCAGTCAGTCTTGGTAAGGCAGTCCGTCTTGATAAGGCAGTCCGTCTTGGTAAGGCAGTCCGTCTTGGTAAGGCAGTCCGTCTTGGTAAGGCAGTCCGTCTTGGTAAGGCAGTCCGTCTTGGTAAGGCAGTCCGTCTTGGTAAAGCAGTCCGTCTTGGTAAGGCAGTCCGTCTTGGTAAGGCAGTCCGTCTTGGAAAGGCAGTCCGTCTTGGTAAGGCAGTCCGTCTTGGTAAGGCAATCCGTCTTGGTAAGGCAGTCCGTCTTGGTAAGGCAGTCTGTCTTGGAAAGGCAGTCCGTCTTGGTAAGGCAGTCCGTCTTGGTAAGGCAGTCCGTCTTGGAAAGGCAGTCCGTCTTGGTAAGGCAGTCCGTCTTGGTAAGGCAGTCGGTCTTGGTAAGGCAGTCCGTCTTGGTAAGGCAGTCCGTCTTGGTAAGGCAGTCCGTCTTGGAAAGGCAGTCCGTCTTGGTAAGGCAGTCCGTCTTGGTAAGGCAATCCCTCTTGGTAAGGCAGTCGGTCTTGGTAGGGCAGTCCGTCTTGGTAAGGCAGTCTGTCTTGGTAAGGCAGTCCGTCTTGGTAAGGCAGTCCGTCTTGGTAAGGCAGTCCGTCTTGGTAAGGCAGTCCGTCTTGGTAAGGCAGTCCGTCTTGGTAAGGCAGTCCGTCTTGGTAAGGCAGTCCGTCTTGGTAAGGCAGTCCGTCTTGGTAAGGCAGTCCGTCTTGGTAAGGCAGTCCGTCTTGGTAAGGCAGTCCGTCTTGGTAAGGCAGTCCGTCTTGGTAAGGCAGTCCGTCTTGGTAAGGCAGTCCGTCTTGGTAAGGCAGTCCGTCTTGGAAAGGCAGTCCGTCTTGGAAAGGCAGTCCGTCTTGGAAAGGCAGTTCGTCTTGGAAAGGCAGTCCGTCTTGGTAAGGCAGTCCGTCTTGGTAAGGCAGTCCGTCCTTGAAAGGCAGTCCGTCTTGGTAAGACAGTCCGTCTTGGTAAGGCAGTCCGTCTTGGTAAGGCAGTCCGTCTTGGTAAGGCAGTCCGTCTTGGTAAGGCAGTCCGACTTGGTAAGGCAGTCCGTCTTGGTAAGGCAGTCCGTCTTGGTAAGGCAGTCCGTCTTAGAAAGGCAGTCCGTCTTGGTAAGGCAGTCCGTCTTGGTAAGGCAGTCCGTCTTGGTAAGGCAGTCCGTCTTGGTAAGGCAGTCCGTCTTGGTAAGGCAGTCCGTCTTGGAAAGGCAGTCCGTCTTGGAAAGGCAGTCCGTCTTGGAAAGGCAGTCCGTCTTGGAAAAGCAGTCAGTCTTGGAAAAGCAGTTCGTCTTGGAAAAGCAGTCCGTCTTGGAAAAGCAGTCCGTCTTGGAGGCAGTCCGTCTTGGAGGCAGTCCGTCTTAGAGGCAGTCCGTCTTGGTAAGGCAGTCCGTCTTGGTAATTCAGTCCGTCTTGGTAAGGCAGTCCGTCTTGGTAAGGCAGTCCGTCTTGGTAAGGCAGTCCGTCTTGGTAAGGCAGTCCGTCTTGGTAAGGCAGTCCGTCTTGGTAAGGCAGTCCGTCTTGGTAAGGCAGTCCGTCTTGGTAAGGCAGTCCGTCTTGGTAAGGCAGTCCGTCTTGGTAAGGCAGTCCGTCTTGGTAAGGCAGTCCGTCTTGGTAAGGCAGTCCGTCTTGGTAAGGCAGTGCGTCTTGGTAAGGCAGTCCGTCTTAGTAAGGCAGTCCGTCTTGGTAAGGCAGTCCGTCTTGGTAAGGCAGTCCGTCTTGGTAAGGCAGTCCGTCTTGGTAAGGCAGTCCGTCTTGGTAAGGCAGTCCGTCTTGGTAAGGCAGTCCGTCTTGGTAAGGCAGTCCGTCTTGGTAAGGCAGTCCGTCTTGGTAAGGCAGTCCGTCTTGGTAAGGCAGTCCGTCTTAGAAAGGCAGTCCGTCTTGGTAAGGCAGTCCGTCTTGGTAAGGCAGTCCGTCTTGGTAAGGCAGTCCGTCTTAGAAAGGCAGTCCGTCTTGGTAAGGCAGTCCGTCTTGGTAAGGCAGTCCGTCTTGGTAAGGCAGTCCGTCTTGGTAAGGCAGTCCGTCTTGGAAAGGCAGTCCGTCTTGGAAAGGCAGTCCGTCTTGGAAAGGCAGTCCGTCTTGGAAAAGCAGTCAGTCTTGGAAAAGCAGTTCGTCTTGGAAAAGCAGTCCGTCTTGGAAAAGCAGTCCGTCTTGGAGGCAGTCCGTCTTGGAGGCAGTCCGTCTTAGAGGCAGTCCGTCTTGGTAAGGCAGTCCGTCTTGGTAATTCAGTCCGTCTTGGTAAGGCAGTCCGTCTTGGTAAGGCAGTCCGTCTTGGTAAGGCAGTCCGTCTTGGTAAGGCAGTCCGTCTTGGTAAGGCAGTCCGTCTTGGTAAGGCAGTCCGTCTTGGTAAGGCAGTCCGTCTTGGTAAGGCAGTCCGTCTTGGAAAGGCAGTCCGTCTTGGAAAGGCAGTCCGTCTTGGAAAGGCAGTTCGTCTTGGAAAGGCAGTCCGTCTTGGTAAGGCAGTCCGTCTTGGTAAGGCAGTCCGTCCTTGAAAGGCAGTCCGTCTTGGTAAGGCAGTCCGTCTTGGTAAGGCAGTCCGTCTTGGTAAGGCAGTCCGTCTTGGTAAGGCAGTCCGTCTTGGTAAGGCAGTCCGTCTTGGTAAGGCAGTCCGTCTTGGTAAGGCAGTCCGTCTTGGTAAGGCAGTCCGTCTTAGAAAGGCAGTCCGTCTTGGTAAGGCAGTCCGTCTTGGTAAGGCAGTCCGTCTTGGTAAGGCAGTCCGTCTTGGTAAGGCAGTCCGTCTTGGTAAGGCAGTCCGTCTTGGAAAGGCAGTCCGTCTTGGAAAGGCAGTCCATCTTGGAAAGGCAGTCTGTCTTGGAAAAGCAGTCAGTCTTGGAAAAGCAGTTCGTCTTGGAAAAGCAGTCCGTCTTGGAAAAGCAGTCCGTCTTGGAGGCAGTCCGTCTTGGAGGCAGTCCGTCTTAGAGGCAGTCCGTCTTGGTAAGGCAGTCCGTCTTGGTAATTCAGTCTGTCTTGGTAAGGCAGTCCGTCTTGGTAAGGCAGTCCGTCTTGGTAAGGCAGTCCGTCTTGGTAAGGCAGTCCGTCTTGGTAAGGCAGTCCGTCTTGGTAAGGCAGTCCGTCTTGGTAAGGCAGTCCGTCTTGGTAAGGCAGTCCGTCTTGGTAAGGCAGTCCGTCTTGGTAAGGCAGTCCGTCTTGGTAAGGCAGTCCGTCTTGGTAAGGCAGTGCGTCTTGGTAAGGCAGTCCGTCTTAGTAAGGCAGTCCGTCTTGGTAAGGCAGTCCGTCTTGGTAAGGCAGTCCGTCTTGGTAAGGCAGTCCGTCTTGGTAAGGCAGTCCGTCTTGGTAAGGCAGTCCGTCTTGGTAAGACCGTCTGTCTTGGTAATGCAGTCCGTCTTGGTAAGGCAGTCCGTCTTGGTAAGGCAGTCCGTCTTGGTAAGGCAGTCCGTCTTGGAGGCAGTCCGTCTTGGTAAGGCAGTCCGTCTTGGTAAGGCAGTCCGTCTTGGTAAGGCAGTCCGTCTTTGAAAGGCAGTCCGTCGTGGAAAGGCAGTCCGTTTTGGAAAGGCAGTCAGTCTTGGTAAGGCAGTCCGTCTTGATAAGGCAGTCCGTCTTGGTAAGGCTTGGTAAGGCAGTCCGTCTTTGAAAGGCAGTCCGTCGTGGAAAGGCAGTCCGTCTTGGAAAGGCAGTCAGTCTTGGTAAGGCAGTCCGTCTTGATAAGGCAGTCCGTCTTGGTAAGGCAGTCCGTCTTGGTAAGGCAGTCCGTCTTGGTAAGGCAGTCCGTCTTGGTAAGGCAGTCCGTCTTGGTAAGGCAGTCCGTCTTGGTAAGGCAGTCCGTCTTGGTAAGGCAGTCCCTCTTGGTAAGGCAGTCCGTCTTGGTAGGGCAGTCCGTCTTGGTAAGGCAGTCTGTCTTGGTAAGGCAGTCCGTCTTGGTAAGGCAGTCCGTCTTGGTAAGGCAGTCCGTCTTGGTAAGGCAGTCCGTCTTGGTAAGGCAGTCCGTCTTGGTAAGGCAGTCCGTCTTGGTAAGGCAGTCCGTCTTGGTAAGGCAGTCCGACTTGGAAAGGCAGTCCGTCTTGGTAAGGCAGTCCGTCTTGGTAAGGCAGTCCGTCTTGGTAAGGCAGTCCGTCTTGGTAAGGCAGTCCGTCTTGGTAAGGCAGTCCGTCTTGGTAAGGCAGTCCGTCTTGGTAAGGCAGTGCGTCTTGGTAAGGCAGTCCGTCTTGGTAAGGCAGTCCGTCTTGGTAAGGCAGTCCGTCTTGGTAAGACAGTCCGTCTTGATAAGGCAGTCCGTCTTGGTAAGGCAGTCCGTCTTGGTAAGGCAGTCCGTCTTGGTAAGGCAGTCCGTCTTGGTAAGGCAGTCCGTCTTGGTAAGGCAGTCCGTCTTGGTAAGGCAGTCCGTCTTGGTAAGGCAGTCCGTCTTGGTAAGACCGTCCGTCTTGGTAATGCAGTCCGTCTTGGTAAGGCAGTCCGTCTTGGTAAGGCAGTCCGTCTTGGTAAGGCAGTCCGTCTTGGAGGCAGTCCGTCTTGGTAAGGCAGTCCGTCTTGGTAAGGCAGTCCGTCTTGGTAAGGCAGTCCGTCTTTGAAAGGCAGTCCGTCGTGGAAAGGCAGTCCGTCTTGGAAAGGCAGTCAGTCTTGGTAAGGCAGTCCGTCTTGATAAGGCAGTCCGTCTTGGTAAGGCTTGGTAAGGCAGTCCGTCTTTGAAAGGCAGTCCGTCGTGGAAAGGCAGTCCGTCTTGGAAAGGCAGTCAGTCTTGGTAAGGCAGTCCGTCTTGATAAGGCAGTCCGTCTTGGTAAGGCAGTCCGTCTTGGTAAGGCAGTCCGTCTTGGTAAGGCAGTCCGTCTTGGTAAGGCAGTCCGTCTTGGTAAGGCAGTCCGTCTTGGTAAGGCAGTCCGTCTTGGTAAGGCAGTCCGTCTTGGTAAGGCAGTCCGTCTTGGAAAGGCAGTCCGTCTTGGTAAGGCAGTCCGTCTTGGTAAGGCAGTCCGTCTTGGTAAGGCAGTCTGTCTTGGAAAGGCAGTCCGTCTTGGTAAGGCAGTCCGTCTTGGTAAGGCAGTCCGTCTTGGAAAGGCAGTCCGTCTTGGTAAGGCAGTCCGTCTTGGTAAGGCAGTCGGTCTTGGTAAGGCAGTCCGTCTTGGTAAGGCAGTCCGTCTTGGTAAGGCAGTCCGTGTTGGAAAGGCAGTCCGTCTTGGTAAGGCAGTCCGTCTTGGTAAGGCAGTCCCTCTTGGTAAGGCAGTCCGTCTTGGTAGGGCAGTCCGTCTTGGTAAGGCAGTCTGTCTTGGTAAGGCAGTCCGTCTTGGTAAGGCAGTCCGTCTTGGTAAGGCAGTCCGTCTTGGTAAGGCAGTCCGTCTTGGTAAGGCAGTCCGTCTTGGTAAGGCAGTCCGTCTTGGTAAGGCAGTCCGTCTTGGTAAGGCAGTCCGTCTTGGTAAGGCAGTCCGACTTGGAAAGGCAGTCCGTCTTGGTAAGGCAGTCCGTCTTGGTAAGGCAGTCCGTCTTGGTAAGGCAGTCCGTCTTGGTAAGGCAGTCCGTCTTGGTAAGGCAGTCCCTCTTGGTAAGGCAGTCCGTCTTGGTAAGGCAGTCCGTCTTGGTAAGGCAGTCCGTCTTGGTAAGGCAGTCCGTCTTGGTAAGGCAGTCCGTCTTGGTAAGGCAGTCCGTCTTGGTAAGGCAGTCCGTCTTGGTAAGGCAGTCCGTCTTGGTAAGGCAGTCCGTCTTGGAAAGGCAGTCCGTCTTGGAAAGGCAGTCCGTCTTGGAAAGGCAGTTCGTCTTGGAAAGGCAGTCCGACTTGGTAAGGCAGTCCGTCTTGGTAAGGCAGTCCGTCCTTGAAAGGCAGTCCGTCTTGGTAAGGCAGTCCGTCTTGGTAAGGCAGTCCGTCTTGGTAAGGCAGTCCGTCTTGGTAAGGCAGTCCGTCTTGGTAAGGCAATCTGTCTTGGTAAGGCAGTCCGTCTTGGTAAGGCAGTCCGTCTTGGTAAGGCAGTCCATCTTGGTAAGGCAGTCCGTCTTGGTAAGGCAGTCCGTCTTGGTAAGGCAGTCCCTCTTGGTAAGGCAGTCCGTCTTGGTAAGGCAGTCCGTCTTGGTAAGGCAGTCCGTCTTGGTAAGGCAGTCCGTCTTGGTAAGGCAGTCCGTCTTGGTAAGGCAGTCCGTCTTGGTAAGGCAGTCCGTCTTGGTAAGGCAGTCCGTCTTGGTAAGGCAGTCCGTCTTGGTAAGGCAGTCCGTCTTGGTAAGGCAGTCCGTCTTGGTAAGGTAGTCCGTCTTGGAAAGGCAGTCCGTCTTGGAAAGGCAGTCCGTCTTGGTAAGGCAGTCCGTCTTGGTAAGGCAGTCCGTCTTGGTAAGGCAGTCCGTCTTGGTAAGGCAGTCCGTCTTGGAAAGGCAGTCCGTCTTGGTAAGGCAGTCCGTCTTGGTAAGGCAGTCCGTCTTGGTAAGGCAGTCCGTCTTGGTAAGGCAGTCCGTCTTGGTAAGGCAGTCCGTCCTTGGTAAGGCAGTCCGTCTTGGTAAGGCAGTCCGTCTTGGTAAGGCAGTCCGTCTTGGTAAGGCAGTCCGTCTTGGTAAGGTAGTCCGTCTTGGAAAGGCAGTCCGTCTTGGAAAGGCAGTCCGTCTTGGAAAGGCAGTCCGTCTTGGAAAGGCAGTCCGTCTTGGAAAGGCAGTCCGTCTTGGAAAGGCAGTCCGTCTTGGAAAGGCAGTCCGTCTTGGAAAGGCAGTCCGTCTTGGAAAGGCAGTCCGTCTTGGTAAGGCAGTCCGTCTTGGTAAGGCAGTCCGTCTTGGTAAGGCAGTCCGTCTTGGTAAGGCAGTCCGTCTTGGTAAGGCAGTCCGTCTTGGTAAGGCAGTCCGTCTTGGTAAGGCAGTCCGTCTTGGTAAGGCAGTCCGTCTTGGTAAGGCAGTCCGTCTTGGAAAGGCAGTCCGTCTTGGTAAGGCAGTCCGTCTTGGTAAGGTAGTCCGTCTTGGTAAGGCAGTCCGTCTTGGAAAGTCAGTCCGTCTTGGAAAGGCTGTCCATCTTGGAAAGGCAGTCTGTCTTGGAAAAGCAGTCCGTCTTGGAAAAGCAGTCCGTCTTGGAAAAGCGGTCCGTCTTGGAGGCAGTCTGTCTTGGAGGCAGTCCGTCTTCGAGGCAGTCCGTCTTGGAAGGGCAGTCCGACCTGGCGGCCCTGTAGGACTCCGGGCAGGTGAGGAGCTGGAAGGTGTGGAAAGGGGGAGGGGGTAGGGGACGGGGGAGGGTAGGTGGGGGGGGAAAGGGGGGGGAGGAGGAAGGAAGTGAGAAAGGTGTGAAACTGTGTTGTGAGGGCGAGAGGTGAGAGAAGTGCAGGGAATCAAAGCAGCGGGGCAGAAGTTCGCTAGGAGAAACGAGGGGGGAGTTGGAGATGGAAGGGGGGGGCAGCAGAGAAGGAGAGCAGTTGTGATGGTTGCCCTGCTGTGAGCAACGCCACGTAGGTGCACAGATGGGTGGATTAGGAGGGGGGTGAGAGAGGGTTAAGGACGGGAAGGAATACAGGGATGGGAGGGGGTGAAGGGAGGGGAAGGGTTAAATGAAGGGAGGAGTGTAAATGAAGGGGAGGGGTTGCAGGGAGGGAAGGGGAAGAAGGGAGGGAAAGGGGAAAAGGAGGGAAGGGGGTAAAGGAAGAGGGAAAAGGGTAAAGTGAGATGACGAGGGTAAAGGGAGAGGAAGGGGAAAAAAGGAGAGGGAGGAAGAAAAGGGAGAGGAAGAGGAAAAAGGAAGGAGGAATAAGGGAAGGAATGGTTTAAGATGAGGGGGAGTGGTAGGAGTAGAGGATAAGCTTAATGGGAGAGTGTAAAGGGAGGGGGAGGGGTGGGATACAGAAAACTGGATAAAAGGGAAGAGGGCAAAGGGAGGAGAAGGTAAAGGGAGTAGATGGTTCAGGGGACGGGAGTGGGTAAGAGGAAGGGTAGGATACAGGGAAGGGGAGCGAAGGGGAATGGGGTAAGGTGAGAGGGAGGTTGAAAGCGAAGGGGAAAGGGAAGGGAGTTGAAGAAAGGAGGAGGGGGTGGGGAAAGGGGAAGTGGATAACGAGAGGGGTAAAGGGAAGGGAAAGGGGGTAGCATAGGGGTGAAGGGGAAGGGGTAAGTGAAAGAGGGGGGGTTAAGGGTAAGGAGAGGGGATAGTAAACGTGGGAGGGTAAGGGTAAAGGAGGGTGTAAGGTAAGGGTACGAAACAGTGGCCACGCAAGCAGTGTGCCTGTGCGAGTGGGTGCGAGTGGGTGCGGGCTGTGTGCCATGGTTCTTGTGAGCCCCGTGGTTATGAAGGCGGTGGCGGGTGTAGATGGACCGAAACGGGACAGAAAGGATAAGGGGAGAGAAAGAGGAGCAAAGACGGCAGCAGGGGGCAGCATGGCATAGCTGGGAAAGATGTTCCTGAGATCCTTCTTGTGGTTCTGAAGGGGGTGGGGGAAGATGGGGCGGAAGGGACAGCAAAGGGCAGGTGACTGAAAGGCAAGGGGAAACGAAGATACTGAAAGACGCAGCAGGAGGCAGCATGGCATCGCTGGGAAGGTTGCTCGGGTGCTTCTTGTACGCCAAGTGGTTTTGAAAGGGGTTGGTGGGAGGGAACGGAGAGAAACGGGACATCAAACAAGGTAAGGGGACAGGAAGAGGACAGAGAAGCAGCAGAGGGCAGCAAGTGGTTCCTTGGATCCCTCTTGTACGCCCAGTGGTCCTGAAGTGTGCGGAGGTGGGGCAGAATGGGGCACAGGACAGGAAGGTAACGAGAAGGGAAAGGAGCAAGTGCAGCAGCAGGGAAGAAGATGCTCGTTTGGCCTTTTTGTACGCTCAAAGGTTCTCAAGGGGGTGGAGAAAGGGACAGGTGACAGGAAGGGTAAGGGGCAAGAGAAGCAGGATGAGGCAGCATGGAAAGGTGGAAGAAGAGGTTGCTTGTGTCGTTTTTGTATGCCCATACATGTGTCGACTAGAATTATTATTTGGTGCAAGGGTGGTGAGAGCTGGGGGGGACTGGCACAAAAAGGCACTCTTTCCCTCATCGCTCCCTCGCAGCTGCAAAGCCACTTGGTTTGGACGTCAGGTGGCAAGAGGTCAACTGTGCACAACACAACACTGTGCTGTCAATGTTTCGGGTTGTGTCTCCTGTGACTACAGGTCTTCCAGACCCACCAAAATCGATTCCGTTGCCGGGACTTGAACCCGGGTCTCTCGGGTGAGAGCCGAGTATCCTAACCGACTAGACTACAACGGATGTGTCAAACACGCAATACTTTCCCATTTTTATCTGTTCTGAAGGGCAGTGCTGAAGACGTTGGCAATGGATAAGCCACTCAGGGGACTGCCATGTCAGCCCACAAACTGACTGTAGTTGTCTCGGTTTGGCTCATGGTTCTCCTCCACCATCTCCCCCCCTCTTGCTTTAGTTACTACCCTCTCCACCTCTCCTCCTCTGAAAGGCACACACCGCCCCCACAGCTTACCTGGTAAAAGGCGTGGAAGAGGACGGGTGCATCTTGAGGGTCGGATGGGCGTCAATGATGCAAGTGAAGGCAGATACCTGCACGATGGTGGTGTGTGGTGGTGGGTGGTGGTGTGCGGTGATGGGTGGTAACGGAAGATGGTGATGGACATAAGTGAAGGGGAATGCGCATGGTTAGTGGGCATAATACTCACCGCATGTGCCATGTGTCCCAGAGCCGGCCGACAGCAGCCCACGGCAAGGTGATCGATCCTCCTTGGGGGTGCGAGGGGGGTTGCGAGGGATAAGTGGAGCCCTCCCACCCTCCTTTCCTCCTACCCACACCCACCCCCCTCTCCTCCTCCTCTCACCTGCCCACAGCAACTCTCCTACGCAGATAGCCAGCACCACGCACATAACTCTAACCCTTCCTCTCACCTCCCATCCATACCGTCCCCTCATCTTTCTCATCTCACCTTCCCCAGGCGCCTTTTCCCCTCCCCATTGGGTACATTTGGCCTTTCCACTGCGTACCGCCTACCCCACCCATGCGCCATCCACCATCATCCCCCCCCCCCCCTCACCTGCCCCATACACCTCCTCCACAGCAGCTGCCACCACTACACACTTGCATCTCCAGCGTCACCCATCATTAACCCACCCTCACCTCCCTCCCCTCTCGTCCCTCCCCTCGCCTACACCTCCCCTCGCCTCCCTCCCCTCACCTCCCTCCCCTCACCTCCCTCCCCTCACCTCCCTCCCCTCACCTCCCTCCCCTCACCTCCCTCCCCTCACGTCCCTCCCCTCGCCTACCCCTCCCCTCACCTCCCTCCCCTCACCTCCCTCCCCTCGCCTACCCCTCCCCTCACCTCCCTCCCCTCACCTCCCTCCCCTCGCCTACCCCTCCCCTCACCTCCCTTCCCTCACCTCCCTCCCCTCGCCTACCCCTCCCCTCGCCTACCCCTCCCATAACCACCCTCCCCCCACCTACCTCCCCTAACCTGCGTCCCCTTCCCTCACCTACCCCTCCCCTCATCTCCCTCCCCTCACCTTCCTCCCCTCACCTCCGTCCCTCACCTCCCTCCCCTCACCTCCCTCCCCTCACCTCCCTCCCCTCACCTCCCTCCCCGCACCTCCCTCCCCTCACCTCCCTTCCCTCACCTCCCTCCCCTCACCTCCCTCCCCTCACCTCCCTTCCCTCACCTACCCCAGGCAGGCACCTCCTCCACGTTAGGCGCCAGCACCGCACGCGGCGGACATGAGGAAACACAAGGAAATGTCCAACAGCCTACAGCCTTGCCCATCTCCTACAGCCTTGCCCATCTCCTACAGCCTTGCCCATCTCCTACAGCCTTGCCCATCTCCTACAGCCTTGCCCATCTCCTACAGCCTTGCCCATCTCCTACAGCCTTGCCCACCTGCCCCACCTCCTTCAACCCCGCTAGCATGCACCACCTCATCGCTCCCTGCTCCTGTGCGTCGTTGCGGGGGGGATGGGGAGGGAGAGGGGGATGGGGAGGGAGAGGGGGATGGGGAGGGAGAGGGGGATGGGGAGGGAGAGGGGGATGGGGAGGGAGAGGGGGATGGGGAGGGAGAGGGGGATGGGGAGGGAGAGGGGATGGGGAGGGAGAGGGGGATGGGAGGGAGAGGGGGATGGGGAGGAGAGGGGGATGGGGAGGGGAGAGGGGGATGGGGAGGGAGAGGGGATGGGGAGGGAGAGGGGGATGGGGAGGGAGAGGGGGATGGGGAGGGAGAGGGGGATGGGGAGGGAGAGGGGGATGGGGAGGGAGAGGGGGATGGGGAGGGAGAGGGGGATGGGGAGGGAGAGGGGGATGGGGAGGGAGAGGGGGATGGGGAGGGAGAGGGGGATGGGGAGGGAGAGGGGGATGGGGAGGGAGAGGGGGATGGGGAGGGAGAGGGGGATGGGGAGGGAGAGGGGGATGGGGAGGGAGAGGGGGATGGGGAGGGAGAGGGGGATGGGGAGGGAGAAGGGGATGGGGAGGGAGAGGGGGATGGGAGGGAGAGGGGGATGGGGAGGGAGAGGGGGATGGGGAGGGAGAGGGGGATGGGGAGGGAGAGGGGGATGGGGAGGGAGAGGGGGATGGGGAGGGAGAGGGGGATGGGGAGGGAGAGGGGGATGGGGAGGGAGAGGGGGATGGGGAGGGAGAGGGGGATGGGGAGGGAGAGGGGGATGGGGAGGGAGAGGGGGATGGGGAGGGAGAGGGGGATGGGGAGGGAGAGGGGAATGGGGAGGGAGAGGGGGATGGGGAGGGAGAGGGGGGATGGGGAGGGAGAGGGGGATGGGGAGGGAGAGGGGGATGGGGAGGGAGAGGGGGATGGGGAGGGAGAGGGGGATGGGGAGGGAGAGGGGGATGGGGAGGGAGAGGGGGGATGGGGAGGGAGAGGGGGATGGGGAGGGAGAGGGGGATGGGGAGGGAGAGGGGGATGGGGAGGGAGAGGGGGATGGGGAGGGGGATGGGGAGGGAGAGGGGGATGGGGAGGGAGAGGGGGATGGGGAGGGAGAGGGGGATGGGGAGGGAGAGGGGAATGGGGAGGGAGAGGGGGATGGGGAGGGAGAGGGGGATGCAGAGGATGAGCCGCCTCATAGCTCCCTGTTCCCATGCGTCGTTACCCCTGAGGTCCCCGTCTCCCCATCCCCCCTCTCCTCCTCCCCCATCAACCCCTCCCACATCTCCCCCTCCCCCCACACTCGCACTGCTTCCCACGCGCTCGCACTGCCGCCCTCAATCGCACGCCTGTCTCGCCAGCACCACCATGCGTTTCAAGCGGCTCGCTCCCTTCTAATTCGGTGTCTGCCTCTCCTTCCCCCGCCTCACACCAATTCTCTCCAAACTTGCTGCCTTCATCCACCCCTCCACAGCGCGTCTCCACGCACCCTCTCTCGCGCATGCCCTCTCACACCTTTCCCCCGTCTTTCCCCCTTTCCCGCCCGTCCTCACCAGTCCCCACCCCTCCGCCTGCGCCTTCTCCTCTCTTCCGCCCTCCTGCCCCCCGTTCTCCCACCCCTCGCTTCATTTCCGCCAAACCCAGACCAAACGCGCTAGTATCCACCTATTCCCCTCCCCTCCCTGCGACTCCCCTCCCCGTTCCGCCTCCCCTTCCCCCTCCGCGCGGCCGCCCGTCATTTCTGGGCCCATCCACGCTTAAACCGATTCCCGCGGGCTCTCGCGGAGGCGGCGGTAGAGGCGCGCGTGCAGCAGGAATGGCAGCGGTAGCCGCGGGGGCGGCGTCGGTGGCGACGGCGAGGAAGTGGTCCAGGCGGAGCGCGACCGGCGCGGGCTTCCACCGCCTCTTCGCGCCAGTGCCGGCGCCGCCGCTCCAGCCTATGGTGCTCACAGCGACGGTGCTGTTTCCGCCACTGCAGCCGCCGGAAGCCTCGCCTGCGCGCCCGTGCTTCCCCATCCGCCATTGCCGCTGCTCCTCGCGCCTCTGATGTAGCGGTTCTTCTTGCTCTTGTCATCTAGTGTAGCTCTGTCTGTCCCTGTTTCGTTGTCTACTGTCGTTCTGTCTGTCAAATTATCGTCGCCCTGTCTGTCACGGTTTTGTCGCAGTCCGTTGCGCTCTCGTCACCCTGTCTGACGCTTCGACGCGATCTTTATCGAGCCGCTATCTGGTGCCCCACTGACGGGTCCCCCTGTCCTGTGACTCCAGCCTAGCCAGCAGCCCGCAAATGGTGGCCTGACACAATTTGGCCTGACACAAAATAAGTGATACGTTATGAGTGGGAGCGTTTCCCGAATGAACTGAAATGCACTAAATTTTAAAAGCTGAAGAGCGCTATTTAATGTCCAATGAATGTTCAAAACGAGATTATACAGGGAGACTCGAGCTAGGCGAGGAACTTGGGGTATCTAGGTTCGGAAGCGTCGCGAAAGGTACGATGGCGAGGGTAAGTGGTTCAGGGCGAACGTTTAGGCCGAACCAGCTGACGCGAGCACCTCGGAGCACACTCGCTAAAGTACTCCTTCAGAAATATAGTACACACCTACAAAAACTTATTACACTACCTTATAGATAACGTGATGAACCAGGTTCTATGTAGAATCATAAAATAAAAACAATAAATCTCTACAAACGCTACAATGTCAATTGCTGCTTTCAAATATCGCGACAAATTTTTCAGGCGCTACAACACATATGAACGAACCTAGCTAGCGCAGTACATCTACGTAATTTGTTAATGACAGTAACGGTACGTTCCTTTCAGGGCTGATTTTATCAGACTATTTTAGTCTGATTGTCTGAAATCTCAGACTCTTTTTTTCGCCTTTCCTGAAATTTCAGTATTCCTGTATGTTGAACTCTGAAGGCCTCAGACCTGTTAGTTTTTCAACTCTGAAAATTTCAGATTACTTCATTGTGCGATACTGAGACTCGAGACTACAGGGAGTATGGCCCCTGAAATTGCCGAATTTCAGTCCTCCCCCCTCCCCCTCTCTCGAATTACATTCAATTCCCCCCCTGCCCCCCTCCCCCCTCCCCCTTCCCCCGCCCCCTCTTACTCCTGCTTCTCGCCAACTCCGCAACGTTTTCCCTAGGCCAAACTCGCTCGACAGATACTCGCTATTAACCAACTCAGATGCGGTTTTACAAACTTCAAACTTTTCAGACTAATGATTTTGTTCAAACCTGACATTTTAGAGTACTCAGAACTTGGGAAATGACCCTCAGACTAAACGATTTTTTTTTCTCCCCTGCCTCAGAGTGGTTTAATTTTTAATGTCAGCCCTGGTTCCTTTACACTTCGTGAAGGGGCACACAACCCAAGATGCATGCCATGATTGGGTTGTTGAAAATTCTCCCTTGTGGCAGGACTCTGCGTTTGACTGCAGTACGTATTGCCTACAGCGTGGCTTCCTAGAGGAAAGATTGGGAGTGAGATGGTGGTGGGAGTGAGATGGCAGTGGGAGTGAGATGGTGGTGGGAGTGAGATGGTGGTGGGAGAGTGGTGGTGAGAGTGAGATGGTGGGGCCAGAATGGGGTGGATTGAGTTCTCTGCACGGCAGTACCAACTGGTTAGACTGATGCTGCCCTAGTAGTGCAAGCGCGGCAGTACCAACTGGTTGGACTAATGCTGCCCTGGCAGTGCAAGCGTTGCCCGCTGCGACAACACAGAGGGAGGCCTGCGACGGCACAAAGGGAGGCATGCGACTGCACAAAGGGAGGCCTGCGACGGCACAAAGGGGGTTCAAGGCCTGATAGGGAGGGAGGAAAGGTTAATGAGTGAGGGTCAACTATTTTGGAGTCAAAATCTAATGTTACCTCAAGCCTGGGGGAGGAGAGGTTGAGTGAGGGCCATGGCTAGGGTTGAGTCGACTCGACACTCCCCACTCACACCCTCCCTACTCCAAATTCCACCTCATTGTTTTGCATTTCTTCCGCCACGCCACCAATGTCAGCGCTCACCCTCATGCACGCACTACCCCCACGAAACAAATTACTTCTTGTTGATAGAGCCATGATCAGTAAAACACACACTTTAAGTCGATTCACGTGATAGGAACGAGGTTCTATAACACACACACTTGTTCCGTTCCCCTCACCCCCCTTCCCTCCACCTGTCTGGTCATATGGCTTCACCTCGACCAGTCCCTCATTCCCCACTGCAGCCAGTAATCTACTCACCACCACCCCACCTTCATCTGCACTCACCTTGGCCAGGGCGTCGTCTTGAGAGAGTCACAACCACAAAAATGCCCCATGCAATACCACCTACCCCCCCCGTTCCCACCTCAATTTGTGTTACCTAATAGCATCAACACCCCACCACATTCCACACATGAAGTCACCTTGGCCAGGCGACGTCTCACTGGCGTTGTCTATGCACTACCGGGCTTGCAAGCGCCCGGTGGGCAAGGACGACCTCTCCAAGGTCGCCATCGTCGATGAGGAACTTGTTCAGGTCAACCACCCCAACCACCCTCGTGCCCCACCCACCTGCTTCCGTCACCCTCATGGCCAATACTTTGACGCTGCTCGCTGTTTGACACAGGCGTTTCCAGATCGCCCGTGTCTCACCAGTATACTAAGTCATGGGCCGTAGCTCTGTGATTCGTAGGGAGATTACTGTAACCCTATCAGACTATATCGGACGGTATACGTGTAGCCACCCGAGCATAAACCCACATACCGCTCGATCTCAGCCGCTCAATGGTGGAAGTACCTCTTGGCTGGTGCTTTTGTTGCGGGGGGAATCGTTTGAGATGCGCCGGCCAATCACTGTTGCCAGCGCATCGATCACTACACATGGTAGAACGGTTTTGGATCCAATCGTGCGAATGTAACCAAATCTTTGCAAAGTACAGTGTTGTCGCGATCGCACAATGTTGCACATAGGAGCTAAATAAAATTCAAAAATACAACCAATACATTCATAAAAAACTATGTTGCTAATGGTTTAGTATGGGGTTTTGGTAAGGCAGTGGGTTTGTCTCATGTCACACACACAAAGAGCGTCCAGAAGTATTACTTCTGACAATTGTACTAAGCACCTTTAGGCTATGCCACAACGGTTACGCGGGAGCGGACGAGATTCTAACACGACGATCAATAGTGCCAAACGAGTAACAGCTGTGGTAAGGTTCTGGATTGTCATCCATTTTTGCATGGACCTTTAACAAGATGCGTAAAGGTAGTGGTATGAAGCACATGCCCAACGCACAAGTGGTGATGCGTTATCGACAGCCTTGTTTAGACAGGGCGATGTTGCAGCGTTCAGGCCTATGTGTTGCGCGACACAGTGAATCCGTTGTGGTATGGTGTTGGATTGGGCTCCATTCTTGCACGGACATTACAGGCCCAACGCACTAGCGGTGATGCGTTATCGACAGCCTTGTTTAAACAGGGCGACGTTGCAGCGTTCAGACCTACGTGTTGCACGATTTGGTGAATTCGGTGTGGTATGGTGTTGGAGTAGGCTCCATTCGTGCACGGACATTTAACAAGGTGCTTAGAAGGAGTGGTATGAACCACAAGCCCACGCACTAGCGGTGATGCGTTATCGACAGCCTTGTTTAGACAGGGCGACGTTGCAGCGTTCAGACCTACGTGTTGCGCGACCTGGTGAATTCGTTATGGTATAGTGTCGGATTGGGCTCCATTTTTGCATGGACATTCAACAAGGTGCTTAGAAGGAGTGGTATGAAGCACAGGCCAACGCACTAATGGTGATGCGTTATCGACAGCCTTGTTTAGACAGGGCGACGTTGCAGCGTTCAGACCTACGTGTTGCGCGACCTGGTGAATCCGGTGTGGTATGGTGTTGGATCGGGCTCCATTCTTGCACGGACATTCAACAAGGTGCTTAGAAGGAGTGATATGAAGCACAGGCCCAACGCAATAGCGGTGCTGCGTTATTGATAGCCTTGTTTAGACAGGACGACGTTGCAGCGTTCAGACTTATGTGTTGCGCGACATGGTGAAACCTGTGAGAGTACGACGGCTTATGCTGGCTTTGCTAGCTTGCCTGGACTTTATTATGTTATTACTAGCTTAGCTTTATTTTATCTTGCATGCTTTTGCTTGATTTCCTAGGTTCGTTGCCTTTACTATAGTTATTATAGTTGTAGGGACTTAACTAGGTTGAGTGAACCGAATTTTAG